TGAATTTAATGCTTTACTAGCTAATAAGACTTGGGACTTAGTACCTTATGACAGCACTAAAAATGTAGTTGGTTGTAAGTGGGTTTACAAGACTAAATATAATTCTGATGGTTCAGTTGAGCGCCATAAAGCGCGTTTAGTTGCCCAGGGATTTAAGCAACAGGCAGGTATAGATTTCACTGAAACTTTCAGCCCCGTTGTTAAACCTACCACTGTTCGTCTTGTCTTATCCATTGCTGTTTCTCTTGGTTGGTGTATTCGTCAACTTGATGTTAAAAATGCCTTTCTCCATGGTCATCTTACCGAGGAAGTTTATATGCGTCAGTCTCCAGGTTTTATTCACCCTTCCTTTCCAAATTATGTTTGTCGCCTCAAGAAGGCGTTGTATGGACTCAAACAAGCACCCCGAGCCTGGTTTCACAGATTCAGTGGGTTTCTTCTCACGCATGGCTTCTTGCAGAGTAAGTCTGATTCTTCCATGTTTGTGTTTCGTCGTGGGTCTCAGGTAGTTTACATTCTTCTCTATGTGGATGATATTTTGATTACTGGGTCTTCTCTATCCTTTGTGCGTGACATTATTACATCCTTATCTACCCAGTTTGCCATGAAAGACTTGGGCGATATACATTTCTTTCTCGGTCTTCAGACTCGTCGTACAAATCAAGGCTTATTTATTTCTCAGCAAAAATATATTTCTGATTTGTTACGACGGTTCCATCTTCACACTGTTAAACCCGTTCGTACTCCTTTACCATCTCGTACCACTCTCTCTCTGACAGACGGTGAACTTCTCACTGATGCTACTGAGTATCGTAGTATGGTAGGTGCTTTACAGTATTTGATTTTGACTAGACCTGACATTACTTATGCTGTGCATTTGGTTTCTCAGTTTATGCATGCTCCTCGTACTACTCACCTTTTGGCTGTGAAGCGTATTTACAGATATTTACAGGGCACCGTTGATCATGGTTTGTGGCTTCAGTCCAATCCTGATATTTCTCTTATAGTTGCTTATTCTGATGCGGATTGGGCTGGTTGCCCAGATAGTAGCCGTTCTACTACTGGCTATGCCGTCTTTTTGGGTAGTAATTTAATTTCTTGGAGGTCCAAGAAACAGCCTACGGTGTCCAAGTCCTCTACAGAGGCCGAGTATCGTGCCATCGCTTATACAGTCCAGGACACTCTTTTCATTCGTTCTCTATTAGAGGATATGGGCATTACTATCTCGGCTCCTGTGCAGCTTCGGTGTGATAATGTTTCCGCTTCCTATCTTGCTGTCAATCCTATACAGCATGATCGAAGTAAGCATATCAAAATTGACTACCATTTTGTCCGAGAACGAGTGGCTCATGGTGATCTTGTGGTCAAATATGTTCCTACTCAATTGCAGTTGGCCGACATCTTTACGAAGAGTTTATCTAGTCAACGTTTTGAATTTTTACGTACCAATCTGCACGTTGTTTCCCCTGCACAGATTGAGGGGGTGTAATAACGTATAATACTGGACATCCTTGTAATTTCCCTATTGTTGATTTATTATAAATACATGTGAATGCACCCTAAGAGGGTAAGCCATTATATCCCAATTATTATTTCATAAAATGCACCGAAATGATCTATGATGATGTTTCATCTTTTTGGTTTCAATAACCGTTTTAAGATTGTGTTGTTGGTAAGATATACACCATATATCATTCATATATATGTACTAGGTTCTAGTTGTTAATTTGGAGCTATGCTTGTCCCTTGGATACATGCCGGAAGCAGCGGCAGTGAGGAAGATCAAAATCGTTGGAACTAACACGCAATGCATTGTGCGGGTTGGTTTCATTATCGGAGAATTTATTAGATGGGAATGATTCACGATGTTTTCATAAACAATTACAGTGATGATGACACCGCGGCATGAAACACCGCCAGTAGTGGAATGAAGTCGCAAAATAAATCAATGCAATGTTTAAACAACTGAAATCCATCATATGCCATTTTGATGAATCGTACATCCTCCTTCATTGACAATAAATAATCCAAAAGTTAATTAATAAGTAAATTTCATATCAATATGGTGTTTTTAAGGACTCAATATGGGGTTTGCACAAAAAATGACTCAATATGGCTTCTATTAACAAAAAACGATGCATCTTAAAAATTAAACATACTTGATGTACCCACTTTTATACCCGCCTTATACCCACTATGTTTGTGGAGGTTTTTTTTTGTCTGTGAACCCGGGTTCACAAACAATATTTTGTCTGTGCAAAATATTGTCTGAGAGCCGGGGTTCACAGACAAAAAAAAACACTTCACAAATATAGGTGTGTACAAAATTAGGTATAAGAGTGAGTACAAAGATCATTTTTGAAAATTAAAATGGACTTCAACTCAAAATAAGTACTACATATTATATATATAAATACTGGAGGAGAAGAATCGGTATAATAAGGCTTCTCAAGGAGTCATGAAGTTACTGGATGCAGGAGGAGAATCATCATGTTTTAATATTTAATATTAAATAAATAAGTATTAGGCAAAAAGCCATGAAGCTAAGTAACTGGAGGAGGAGAATCGGCAAAACAAGGCTTATCAAGGAAATATAATGTGAATTGAATTGGGAACGGAAATGCAGGAACCTTCCTAAATAAGCGGAGAGAAACTCTCGATTACAATTGGAAGGAACGGTGATTTCATGAAAATGCCCTCCACGTTATACAACTTATTTGTATGAAAAATAAAATAAAACGATGCATCTAATGGTGAGAGTGCTTTCTCATTTCTCTCCTAAGATGACTTTCTCACATGATCCTTAATATATATGTATATATATAACCAATCCCTATATATATAGTAAGCATCAAATAAAAAGTGTTTCCTGGGTGAAAAATAAGAACTAATCTTGGCCATTGATGTGAAAAAATGGATGAAAAAGATCAATTTTGAGGTAGGATACGCGGTGACATATTTGTAATTACGGAGAACTTTTATTGAAAATATTATGACAAATGTGCATCAGCATAGTAAAAACGTGCACACGTAGAGCACAAAAGTGCAATACGGTACAAAATAAAAAGTGCACAAGTTGGAAATTTTTTACAATTTTTTGACACACATGAGTGCACATTTAATGAGTAACTATCCACTTTATAGTATAAACGTTTGCACATTTTTTGAATTCTTCTCTTGTGTTTAAAGTTCATCTAATCCATCCATTTTCAAGTGATGGAATGCCAAGATTTATTCTCACTTTTCATGGACAACCTAGCGATTACCTTGCGGCAACCCTATAGAGGACAAGGAAAGTTAAAAATTCGTGTATTGGGCTCCAGTGAACATGTTCCAACTTATCATATTGTTTTTTTTTTCACAGTGGGCTTGAAAGGTAAGGTTATTTTCTTAAAATTTTTGTTTATTTTCATATTTCCCAACAAGCGTTGTCTTTCTCATTCAAACTTTAAAGGCACTTTTTAAAACTAATCTACTTTTGTATTGGATGTTCTTTTTTAAGGAATTGATTGGAATACTCTTAAGGTCATTCTTACTTAAATACAAATCTAAACAGAAAAAGTGCTAACCTATAAATTGAAAAGCAAGAGCAATCAGATTTATATAAAAACTTGCAATTCGCAAAAAAGTATGGCCTAAATTGATACAAAATAGTGTGTTAGTTTCACATATTATAGTAGTGGAACATATTAAGTAGTGACAGGAAAGAGAAAGATTTTTTAACCATATCAAGAAAACTGAATTGATGATTTTTTAACATCCGACCCCCCTTACCCCACCGAAGGTGAGAGCCTTTGCGGTTTGAGGTAATGATGATTGATGATGATGATTAAGAAAGCTGAATTGACTTGCTAAAAATTTTCACCAACATGATGGTATAGACTAAGCAAGTTTTGAAGCATAAGGGTATGAAAGTGGCTGCGATGGGGAACATAATTTTTCTGGTATGTAAGAATGCACAATTATTCTTGAAGATAGAATGCACAATTATCTTCAAGAATTAATTTGAATGCGTTTCCGATTGAAGTTTTGACTGAAATTTGGTCGGCAATGAGGTAATGATGATGATGATTAAGAAAACTTAATTGACTTGCTAAATATTTTCACCAACATGATGGTATAGACTAAGCAAGTTTTGAAGCATAAGGGTATGAAAGTGGCTGCGATGGAGAACATATTTTTTCTGGTATGTAAGAATACACAATTATTCTTGAAAATAGACTGCACAAATCGCGACTTGATGAATTTTCCACCGGGAACCGACCCAAATCGCGACGGCCGGACAGAGCTTTCTATATAAGGACTTATTTGACCTTTTTATGATAGTTGGAGGACCTATTTGACAATTTTCCCTATTATTATAGATAGATGTGGTGATGACGGAAAACAAGCCAAGAATACTTCAAATGTAGTTTACAAGGAAGTATATAATAATTTGTATTTTTTATCTTCATTGACTTTTGTTAAAATTATTATATGCATTGTTATATCTTTAGATTCACAAATAGTTTATTACTTATTCACCGTCATTAATTATAATAAGTACTGTAATGTTGGATGTATAGTACTACCTCCGTCCCGCTAGAAGGTTCCCATTGCAAAACGGCATAGTTATTTAGGTGATAATTAAATAAAGTACTTCGAGTGTATTTTGAGAAATAATTTTAATAGATATATATTATAATGTGTTAGTATTGATAACTGTGATTTTATAAATGTATTATTTTTAATATTTAATGACTAATTTGTCTCTTAAGATTATTAATTGTTTCCTAAAATGAAAATGAGAACCTTCTAATGTGACGTCCAAAAAAAGAAAGTGGGAACCTTCTAACGGGACGGATGGAGTATTGCAACTATATGACAATCCTAATTAAAAGATGTCAGTAAATATTGTCATCTTAGTCATGATTTTGGAAGAAAAACATAAAAATCGTGTTTTAGAATTCTAAACTCTATTTAGTTTACTCCCCCTGCACAGAAGTGTACTCATTTGACACTTCTATGTATTTTGATTTTGGTAAAATGAGAACTTGTCACTATTGTTCCAAGGAGCAAAACTTACCTTACAACTCCCAGAGTGCCATGTCACACGCATAAAATTCCCCAGTTCAGCAGAAGAAGAGTGGATATGGCAACGTCCTCAACCACAACGACGTCGTCCGGCGCCGGCAGAAATGGCAAAGATGCGTCCGCCAAGACCGTGGTGGCCGATCAGATCACCCAGTCCGTACAGTCCACCTCCAATCTCCTCCACCTGATGCTCCAGTCTTCCCCTTCTCAGGCAAATCCGCATACACATTCTCTAACTCATCCTAACCCGTTTATCAGATCATATTATTTCACCAAATTTACATTGCAACGGGTCATTTGTCAGGATACCTACATTAATTTATCTATTTGTCCCTAGTTTTTTTCATAAGGCACTGACAAATTCCTAAAATAGTGAAATTGGGGGCACAATAAAGACAATGTCAATGTGTTTTTTAGATGAAAGGGAAGGGATTTGCAAATTAATTAAGCAAATACTTTCTCTGCTTTATATTGATTTTAATAGTTTCACATTTCTGCTATTCATGTCACCTACTTTGATCATGTTTTATTGTCATTGTATAAAAAACAAATCATAATAAGTAAAATAGTGTGAAAATTGTCTTAATGTATATGTCTCCAACAGTGGCGGATCTAGGCATCGAGAGTCAGTATATGCAGTAATACACATAGATGTAATATAGTAATAGTACTTCGTAGTATACTACATGAGAATTATTAATGCTATCAAATACATGACTTTTTATGTACGGAATTTAAACACTATATTCTTATACTTCGTATTTCATTAACGACACTTTTTTAGTCCATAAGAGCAAAAATTAATATTGCATCTGCGATGTTTTTACTTGGACTGAAATTTGTTGGTCTGACCTGGTCTGCTCCGGTAAATGTCTGATCTCTGAACATTTTATAACTATGAAAGTGTAATCTTATCTGGTCTCCTTAAATCTGTGGTTTGATCTTGGGAAGAAAACAGTCCAAGTAAACACAGTCTTGAATCTTGATGGTTTAAATGCTAAATAAATTGATACTTAGAGAGATTAATATATAATATAAACATGTTAAAATAGTGCTCCGTCATCTTATGTTTTCATAGAATTAAAAAGCCTGAAATTTTCATAGAATTAAAAAGCCTGAAACGAGAAGAAGTCAAAGCTGGAATTACTTTTTGATATAGTTGCCGATTGGGGGGAGGGGGTATTTAAAGGTCTTGGACATTTGGAGTTTGGACCTCAAATCCATCATGGCATCATCCCATACGGCCCATAATACCCCGTAAGAAATTACAACAAAAGTAGAAAACGCATGACCACATTAGCCATTTCAAGAAGGTAGGGAAGCACTTAAAAACAAAACTAACATGTAGAACCAGGGTGAGTTGATCCTCCGACCTGTAACACTAGAAGAACTTCAGTTGCCTAATACTACCACATAGGCTAAACACAATTTTTGAGGTGTAGCCTATGCTTACCCTCCTTATAGGGTAGGTCCGCCCCTGGTCTCCAACATATCTTTTTTTTTTTTAAATTTTTAGCAATAAAAGTATATTAATGTTCGAAGTAGTAGTGCGTTGTAAAACATATATGTGCTACTAAAAAAGAATGGAAGAAGTACGACATCATAAACTCATGGTACAAAACCAAATTCTGGGTTGATCTCCATGGATTGATTATAACTTAAGATCATTATTATTGTACTATTAGTATGCTTTTCCACCGCAGACCCGCAGTGAAATGCTTAGCAATAACCACTAATTATGATGATGATGATTGTGCATTATAATCTTGATATGTATTGGAGTTATGCATTTAAGTTCAGTCAGAAGCTTATGCCTCAACATATGATCCTTCTTAACCACCCTGTTTCCGGCAGGCCAAACTACGGAAACTTCCAAAGAGTCTTTTGGCTAAGACCTCTACAATCAAGAACACATCATTAGCATTGGAGCAGTTGCCTCAGATAATTTCATCATTGGATGCATATATGGATGAAGGACTTCAATGGTTGTTCTTTTCTCTCTTCCTTCATGTAGTACAACTGTAGATATCTGTTTTAAAATTAAAGTTTAAATTTAGGTCATTTTCTGAATTAAATTTATTTGGAAGGTTGAAATAAAATAAAAAGGGAAATCTTAATTTGTACTCCGTATGAAATAATTTTTAACATACAAATTCATTTTCCTTGGAGTGCACAAATACTCTATAAGCTCTTTCTTTGCTCAAGGTATTTATGTAGTACAAACATGATTTATAAGCTGCTCCACATGACGGATATTCAGTTATCTAAATGGCTGATATTATAAAATAGTTTTGCTTCTCAGTGCTTGAGTAGTAGCTATGCTTGGGCTTGAATCATGACTACACAACTTCCTCTGTAGCCTCCACATTGCTCATATTTGAACCATTCTTTTGAAGTGTGATTTGAATAGTCATTCCAAAATAGTATGACACCCTTCTTTTATGATATGAACAATCATTTATAAATAGTCTGACATTGTTCTTTAGGTCTTGGAAGGACATGTGAAGTTTGTAATTTAAATGAATCTGATTTGTTCAAGACATAAAAACAAAAACAGGGGAAAGAATTTCAAGGTAAGTGTTTAACATGGATGCAGACCTTGACTTCTGTCTTTCAAGGCATGGTTTACCGATGAAAACTTCTGAAAGTAAATCTACATGAGAACATTGAAATAAAAAGAAGAAGAAAGAATTCCTTGTTTGGATGTATCACTTATTTTGCATGTGAAAGCAACAATGTGATATATTGAACCACACCTGTGCGGCTGTGCCATTTATAGTGCCCAAGTTCTAATGTATTATCCTTATTTGTTGTGCTACATTTTATCTATGTGTCCATCTGGATCATTGACTGTTGTGGTTGCCTCTAAAGAAATAAAGGTACAGCGGTGCAATCATAACTATTTTCATTGCTGTGTTTTCCTGTTATGATCCAACATTTAATTTTAATTGTAATTCTTTGAACGCAATAAATTACTCTGGAAATAAATCATAAATATGAATATATGTTCAATGTATATTCAATTCTTATGTCGATCTAATTTTGAAAGTGGTCTTTGCAGTGTTCCTCAGCTTGAAACTGTAATCCAGCTACTCTCAAATATTGAGAACTCCAAAGTTAAGTCTTTGTCCAATGCTCAGCTTCCCCCCTGAAGAGGTATAAGCAGTATAAGTGGGATTTTAGTTCTCGTTTTCTTTTGGTAACTAATAATTTTCCAGTCTTTGTTATATTTTCTGCTAAAGGTGTATAATCAATTCTCAATAACTATAAAGCTGACACTAACCTGGGGAAGTGGGGATGGAGTATTATGGCGATTGAAAGAATGAGAAGTTATACCATTCTGCCACTTGGAACAACTTGCCAATGCTTTACACTTAAAAACATGAACATTTGGGGGGAGTGTTTAATGCCCCATTAGTAGAACTCTGATGTATTTAGAACTGCTTAGTTATTCTTTCCCCCGTCCTTTCTCTTTTCCAAATATCTCTGTGCTTCAGTACAAGGGTAAGACTGCGTACATCCGACCCCCTCTTATCCCACCGTAGGTGGGAGCCTTTGCGACACTGGGGTGATGATGATGATTATGTGAACCAAAATTAAAAAAAGATATGCTGAGTCATACTTATCTAGACAAAACTTGCTCTCTATTATTCGTATTGTTTGATAAGAGAAGTATTTCGTGCTGGTTCGTTACTACCCAGTGACAATACAAAATGTGAACATTATTATCTTTTTCTGGTATTTGCTTCTCCTGAATGTTATTAGTTACCACTCTTTTGTATCCTATCTGTCCCACAGGAGTAGTAGTACAAAAAGAAGGCCAGATCCAAGATTTGGAGTCTATGCATCTTTGGTGAACTTGGACAAAAATATGTCTGAGAGAGAGAGAGAGAGAGAGAGAGAGAGATAGCGACTGAGCTACATAGCGTGCTTGCATTTGCTTCTTTGACGAAAATATGTATCTTTGACTCAATGTTAAAAAAGAAGAGGCATGGTAAGTCTTTGGTAATTGGATGAGTTACTTAAATTTGACTTGGGTGTAAATTTGGTGGCGTTTGGTTTAAACATGGGATACGTAACCTAAGGTGTTCACAAACCAAAATTGTTAATTTTAGAGACTATATGAAAACTTATTAATAGTAAAAGTTTATAGTATTTGAGAGAAGTGATTTTGGAAAAGTAAAAGTTAGTGTTTGGAGAAGGTGGTATAGAACACTCGTCCACCTGCTTTTAACGTTAAAATGCTTGATTTGAGCAGAAATGATTATTTTATGGGTGAGGCAGAAATAGTTATTTGAAAACACTGTTTAAAAATTTTTAAAGCTAAAAGCTAAAAAACGTTTTTTTAAGCAATGTTAAAGCTACCCTAGTCTTGCATCTTGATGACTACATATTCATGCTTATTCAGTCTCGTTAATGACTATTCAATTATGATATTCTTTGTTAAGATAGCTACAGTTTCTGTATTGCACCCCTAGAGTATATGACTGATCTCACACCAACGGACTGATTTGGTTAAGCAAGGGAACTATAGAGAAATTAATTAGGTTAATTAATTATTTAGTTAGGGGTAGAAATGGAATGATTAGTCCTATTTAGAGAAAACTAAACTATGATCCTACTACGTATTTTGGAAGAAGGTTATTTTTTTTTTTTTTTGAAGAAGGTTATGTTCTACTCCTAGTTTGGACAATTTTCTCTTTATCGACCTATGGAGTGAAATAGGAATGAAAGAAAATAACAATCTCAGAGGCTAAAATGCCAATTATCAACCAAGATAATACAATGATCAAAAGATCCGGAAAGAAGAATTTGGGGCTTAAATGGATTCCACGCAAATGCTTGCACATGCAGAAACAACACATAGGTAAGCGGGGAAAGAACAGAAATTATGTTTAGATATTTGTAGGCTTATAAAATAAATTTGTAGTCCCTTGCCTTGTCATCAAGGTCTTTCATAGTGAGATTACATGTTCTTCATGTTGATACATCCCAAATCTTGACTGATTTATCAGCACTAGCACTAGCCACTAGCTATGCATTTGCTGCATAAAATGTCAACAGGACTGATAAAGTTGAAATATTTTTCAAGTAATTGATTGGCAACTATGATAACTAACATATACGGAGTAGAACTCTTCTAATACCCAGGGGCGGAACCAGGGGTGGGCGAGCCGGTGCCGGCGCCACCCCTTCGCCGGAATTTTTTTAGTACTAGCAATAGGTATACTGATTGCCGCCCCTCTTCATCTTCTTCGTTGAGACTGACGCCCGTGGGAGATGCTACGAACCAGAGTTTGGGGAAGGAGCGGACAGGCAGACAGCCTGTTTTTTTCTTAATAATTAAATGAGCCAAACGACGTCGTTTGGATTAGTGCACAGGGAAAACAAAACGACGTCGTTGTGACCATAACTATGACATACGCTTTGACCGTCTTTCCGTAATTCCTTGTGCGGCTGTGCCCGTTCGTCGTTCCAGTCCAGAAGCCTTCCTTTGCCACGCCAGTCGCCGACAAGCCGTTAGACTCCGGAATCGCCGTCGCAGGCTCACCCTCGCCAGTCCCTTCTTGTCTGCCCCTGCGTCACGAAGTCCAACTCAGAAAGCGAAGCGGAACTCCAACTCAGTTGCATAGTTTGGCCGTTTGGATAAGTCCGTAACTATGGCAATTAATTTTAAAATTGTAATCCGTATTAATTACTTTATTTGCTTTTTTAGTTTAATTAATTATTTACTTTAAAATTGGATTGAATAAATGGTTTAAGGTTTACATTTGATTAATTGGTTTAATTGATCTAAAGTGTAATTGATTATTAATGAGTTTTTTACACAAATATTACTAGAGTAAAACTTACGGAGTATAATTTACATAAATATGGTCGTTCAGTTACTACAATGTAGTGTCATAATAACTCAGGTTTAAAAGTTGAACATAAATTACTATAATTTCATTACTACTATAGTTACTAATTACATTTTTGTAAACAGTCGTTATTTTAGTCATAAATATGTAATTTTTTCTTGTTTAATTGCTTGAATTGGTATAACCGTATAAAGTAACGACTGTCACTGGACTAAAGGCTAAAATTAAAAAAAAAAGTATAACCGTATAAAGTTTAAATTGATTGTGCAATTTTTTGATTAATTAGTTTCATTGCTTTAGTTGTTTCAAATTTTAATTGATTATAACTATGGAGTATTTAAGAATTTGAAATTGAAAACCTTTTTAACTTGTTAGGTTAGTCATGTGATCATGTCTATCTTATAATATGTAACATGAGGCGTTGGGTCTTCTAGACGAGATAACGAAGAAAGTAGTAGAGAAAAACATCATTTCAGCTTTCTTCTAAGATTTAATTATAATGTAATGTACTATTCTAATAAATTTTATATTCTGTAAACTTTAATAACAATTTATATTTTTGCATTTTATCTTACTTTTAGCCACCCCTTCATTTTCGTTCTGGTTCCGCCACTGCTAATACCTATACTCCTTGTTCCAAGCAACGCTGAGTGCTGAATCTCTATGGCTGCATTTTTGTGTGTATTCGATTGACTTCTGAAATGAAAAGAAATGTGAACTTTGTAAGCAGGGGCGGATCTATAGTATAATGAGTGTTAGCACAGGCTTCACCTCAATAGTTGTTGTTAGCCTAAATGGTAGTAGGATTGTTACGATTCCCTTCCAGTGCTTCATTTTTTTAATAACCCCTTGAAATGCTTACAGGGCTACGGGTCCAGTTAAACTAAAACATTTGAATTCAACTTTGAGTCCCTCTAAGACCGGCAGAGCATTGAGCATTTGAGCCTCCCATCCCAATCTCTTGCTTTGTCCTCCACCCAATTTCAACCTAGTCCTGACCTCTTAAGCTATTCTTAAGTAATTGGACATGAGTCATTATTTTTCGTCTACATCATTATTTTTTATAGCAATTTTGCAAGTGTGTTTCTCCATACTCCCTCTGTCCCGCAATTAAGTTCATACTTTGACTTCACACAGATTAAGAAAATAAATTTGACTTCACTGTAGAGTGCATTGTTTTGCACTGTTTAAACAGTGTTTGACACTGTTTGGACTTTGGACACTGTTTGACACTGTTTTGCACTGTTTGACATTGTTTTGATGTAGATAATTTGCCAAATAAGGAAAATTTTGAAGTGTGAATTTAATTTCGGGACTGACCAAAAAGGAAAGTGAGAAGTTGTTTACGGGATGGAGGGAGTATTATTTTTCTCTATTGAATCACACTGTGCATATGAATCATTTATGATTCTTTAAATTTCATTTTTCACTATTATTATTCCATCATTTAGATATCTTTTGCATTGTTTATACGTATTGGTGTATAATGTTTTTGTACATATACTTTTTATACATTTATAAAAATATTTTTAACAAAGAACAAGCTCATATCATTTGTGTATTATAAATAATTTCTAATAAATATGTATAGAAGGTCAAAGTTTAAATTCATAAACCAAAATTCAAATATGGTAAAGTTTTAAGAGACGAAGGATGAAAAAACGTGTTGTAATAATTATGAAGGTGGGTCATGTTTTCAGTGTAGTGTAGTGTCATAATTTTTTTTTATACCGCTACGTACTATATATGTGCATACACTGAGCTCCGATGCTTGGATCCACCACTCTTTGTAAGAGGCTATAAGCCTATAATCATCCGCTCAAAATAAATGGATAGCTATCTGCCTATCTAAGATGCATACTTGCATCTCTCTCTATAGAACCCTTCATTTATAAATGAACCGTAGTTTGGGACAAGTCATATTCTTTAAGAGAACGATCTCGTCATCCCATCCCATGCTCACCCCTAGGGTATACATACATCCAGTGGAGGACCCAGGGGCATGGGTGACTAGCGTTCCTGCTTTGGTCCCAAAAATCTGCGTTAGTACTAAGGCCACATAATTATACCCCTTGTTTTAGCATGGGTGAACAATACTAGTTGTTCGACGAGTGTTTAAATGTCGTAGAAGCTGCTAAAAAGAATCATTTTGGCAATTGAAAAGATCGTTTTGGTTTCAAGTATTATCTACATAACACAATCTAAAACAACATATGTTGATTTCGATTAAGGCTATTAACGACCGATGTCGAGAGCGAACATTTGGAGCTCAAGTTCGAGCTTGAAGCTCAATGAGCTATATAAATGAAACTTGGGTTTGACTCAATAGATGTTTGATGTTTTATTTCAGCACTTGATAAACTCAATAAATATGCTCGAATATAGAATTTTAGTACATGCTTGTTAACAGGTTCATGCTCGAAATATTCGACAAGTACTTAGATCTTTAACAAAAATAATATTGAATGGAAAAATTAAACACTACGCCCGTAAAAGAAACAATGGATCCAACACCAATTTTTCAAGAATTGATACAACTATTTTCACAACTTCGTGTTAACTTTCAAATATCACACGATAAAATGGTTATGAGAGTGGTTTTGTCAAGGATTTGTCTCTAATTACCAGTTCCTTTTCAAACCAGACAAAAAATAAATGCAAGAGTGATTTTACTACAAAAATATAGTAGAGATAAAAAAAATTGTGCCAATTTGTGACAAATCCCCTTAATTTTTTACAATGCAATATAATAAAATTTGGATTTGTAAAAATAGGTTAGTAAATGAAATGAGTTGTGTTGAAGAAAGGAATAGTAAAAATGAATTGTACTGAACCAAAACTCTGACAGTTTGTAGTATGAAAAATAACTGGAAGTCAAATCAAAAATAAAAAAATATTGTAGTTTGATGAGAAGTATTTTGGAATAGCAAAGTTCAAAAGTAATGATTTTTAGGATGATTCAATTCTAATCCAAATTATGATCTTCTTTCGAAAAGTTGAAAATTATTACTTAGAATTGTCTTATTGGTTTGGAAATTAGATCTATAATTTATAGATATTAGATTTGCATCTCTTAGAAATAGAAATTGACCAGAATTGACTAGTGTTAAACCTAACCCAACCCATTAATCCATGCGCACCCCGCCGCCCCCTTGAGAAAACTTGTGAGTCCGCCCATGCTATAGACATGTTGACGTGTAGTTGGCTAATTATTTTAGTTTGGTGTACTACTGACCAAAGGAGTGAATTCATATTAAAGACAAGGGACTAGTTTTTGTACTAAAAGCTACATACAAAAATGTTA